GGGAGGGTTCAGCAATTTACAGTCAATATCTGGCTGCTCTTCCAGGAGCTGCTCTGAACATCTTCGCTGATACGCTGAGAGCCACTCCAGGTGTAGTTCCAGGCACTCCTCATGTCTGAATCTCCTCCTCGAGGGCCAGTCTGGTGACACATTTGAGTTGGGATGGGTGGGGCTGGGGAGAAGACAGACCCTCTGCTCTGGTGCGGGCAGAAGGAGAGTCAGGAAGCTGGACCGCAGGATACCCGGCAGCCAGCGTTCAGCCACGGGGCCGGTGGGGAGCAGCCACGGGCAGGGCCTCAGTCCCGGGGGCGGCTGTGGCAGGCACGCAGGGAGGGCTCAGGTCTGGTAAGAGATCAGTCAACCGCTGGCAGAAACAGCCACCACAGTGGGGCCAGCGAGGAGGGCGTGAGGCCTGGGGGGATTCTGGAGCTGGGCAGAACAGCGAAGAGGGTGACAAGAGGGGGTAGGAGGCACCTTCGCCACTCCCTCCTCTCTGAGGAAACTGGCACCCAGCATGGAGCGTTTGGAGGCAGGCCACGTGGAGGGTGTTTAAACTTAAAACTCATTCTGTGGGATGTAACCAACGGACTGAGGAAGGGCTCTCTGCTAAATAAGTGTAGGAAACACCCACAGATTTGGAATTTAGCAGATTGCCTTTTGCAGAGAGTCCCAAAGTCTGCTGTGTGTCAAGGGAGCCCCCACTTCTCTGGCAGTAATCTGATGGAAAGACTGCAGCCAGAGTTCCACTCCTGGCCTTGCTCCTCCCGTGGGGGGACTCGCCTCGCTGCTGGCACACTCGGGAGGGGACTGGCACCCCTGGCTCGCCCGTTCCTCTGCCTCTCAGCTCATCCCCAGGCTCTGCACGTTCTGGAAGCAGCTCTGCTCTGTTTTGGGGACCAAAGTTGTTCAGTGCTGCCTGGGACTGGGTGAGCCACGGTATGAAGAAGCCCAGGGTGGCCATTCAAGTCAGCCACATCCTCTGTGTCCGTTAGCTGCGGCCACAGTCATGCTGCCTAACAGTGTCCGTGCGGCCTTGGCACTGCGAACGAGAAGCTCTGATTCAGCTCAGGAATGCAGGTCGGCTGAATGCTGGCCGGGCCGGGGCAGCTGGGGCAGCTCAGCCAGCTGCTTTGGCTGGGCAGCTTGGATCTGCTCCACATGACATCCTCCGGGACCGGGACGCTTTCTTGTGGCGACAGCAGAAGCAGAAAAATGCAAGTCCCCTTGAGGCCTCTGTTCAGAACCAGTACACCACCAGTTTTACCTCATTCTTTTGGCCAAAGCAAGTCGCATGGCCAAACCCATCACCACTGAGATGAGGAAGTGTACGCCTTCCGTGGAAGCAAGAGGGGGAGGGCATTTCTCAGCAGCGATCCACAGAGACGGATTCACGTCCCTCCCCTTCGTGGGATGTATTTATCCACGATGCCCAGGTTACCTAGTCAGTCACCAGTCTCTTAGTCTAAGGTCTTGCGCAGCCTGCATTCTTTCTGGATGTGACTCTTCTTGACCTAGACACTTAGGAACTAAGAAGCACCCCACCCCCCGCACTCTCACACCCAGCACGCAGTGGGACAAGGCTCAGATCACTGCCATCGCAGCAGCCTTCACGGCGTCCGAAGTCCTGCTGGCAAATGTTGCCAGTGTCTCTTCTCTGGGGGACGTGTGCCCTGAGTGGCTCCCCAGTCCACTGTGCTCTGCCGCTGCCACCACTAGGGGTCTTCCTCCTCCATCATCCTCTCGACTTCTGAAGTGAGCCCTGGAAAGTGTCCCCTTGGGCGGCGGAGTACCTCTCAACCTCTTCCTGCCCGGGGGAAGTCGGGAGCCTGAGGTCCTTTCCATTTCAAACAGCCTCACTCCCCTGCACTCCACGCTTACAACGCACTTGCCCACTCAGCTCTCTCAGACATTGTGGCTTTTCTACAAATATGGTTCCCGTCACTCTGTGCTAGAAGCCACACCCACAGTTCCTCTGGTGACATGTCTCTCTCTACACTGGGCCCCCACATCAGGCTGTGTGAGGCCCTGAAGGTTCCTAGGCACCCTGTTATCACTGAGGATATTCTAGAGCCGCCTTACTCCTTCCAGGGACCTAAGACAAAGGCTGTTACAATCAAGGGGCACATCCCTGACTCTGCGCAGAAGCTGCGTTCCACCTGCACTGCCCGGGTTGGGATTTCGCACCTCAGGCCAAATCTTAATCTAAAGATCTTTCAATGGCTGGAGAGACTGGAGATGAGAAATAATTTTATTTTCTAGATTCTGCATGGGAACTGGCCAGTTCCTTTCTGAACTCATCTTTTACTTGTAGCACCTTGTTATTTATGGCTTGAAGAAGCTCATGGTCACAGTGTTGTGCCCGGAAACCGGCTGCCAAGTCCATAAAGTCACAGGTGCATTTCCTCCCTCCCAAATTACCACGGGCAACAATTGTACCAAATAGATCTTCACCGCATGGCACAGCTCACCACTTTTCTGCCATCCCTTTACTTTCTCTAAATCTCACTGCCCAGTTTCAAACCTATGCTACGTGTTTTAGGGCTTTGTTACAACAGCCTCCCATGCCAGGTACCACTTTCTGAATAAGTTAACTGTGGTCCAATAATGCCATTTAACGAAAACCACAACAGCCCCGAAGTAGACAACAGCCAGCGTTTACTTAGCTCAGGAATCTATAAGTCTGCTGGAGACCTTGCGTAGGCTGGGTGCTGAGGCAGCTCCATTCTCCTGTGCCCTGTGCCCTAGGACCCAAGCAGGGTTTGAACATCTAAGGGCTTGATGGCACAAGTACAAAAAGATAAGTGAAGCACAGACCTAGGCTTGGAACAGAAAGCAAGCCACATGACTGAGCCCCAAATCAATGGAGGAGGGAAGCACACTCTCTAGAATTAAAGGAGACATACCTGAACAGTAATCCAATCTAGCACACCCTCTCACCCAGTTTTGATAAGACTGACATTGTAGTCTCCATCTGTCTCCTGATTCTGTATCTTAGTTGGCTCTAGACCCAAAGGGGGAAGACAGCGGGGTCATTCATTGGTGCCCTGTCACCAGTGATGTCCCAAAGCCAGTTTCTGTGCCTATTATGTGCATCTCTTCCCAAACTCTGCATCCAGAGACTTCACATTAATAACTTGACATTGGCCATTGGGAGAATTTACACCACAGGAATCAGCAAACACTACAAATCAGGGCATCCCCCTCTTTACCTGCACAGACCCTGTTGTTAATCATTTGCCAGTGTGCCTAACAGCAACTCAAATTCTGCAAGTTGCCAATAGCCTGATATGCCTGGAGGTCTTTTCCAAGTTTATATGTCCACACAACGTATTTTGTGGAGACTTTGTGGGTCTGGAGTGTCATGGGCACAGCTAGTGGCTTTCAAATTTTAAAACTCATGCATTTGTTTGTTTAAATGAAACTGGCTGTATAATCTGAAGGACACAGTTAAAAGCGGAGCTGATCTGGCTGAAGATGGGAGTAGGAGACTCAGAACCCCCACGCATTCTTTATTCCCCTCCCTGATCACCCAACCAGAAGCAGCACAGATATCGAGTGGAATTTGAAAACCAAGTATCTAGTTCAGCAATTTTCAACCAGTGTGCCACAAGAATTTTTAAAACATGCAATACCTGACTACTTAGTTAAGGTCACTGACATCTTTTCCCTTGGATTGTCAAATAAAAAAATGACAACAGCCAACACAACAATAGCCATCCAATATGAATGAATCAAAATTATACCTTTTTTCTTTTTCTTTTTAAATTTATCTTTATTGTTAAAAGATTACAGATATCCCTCTTTTTCCCCCATTGACCCCCTCCAGCCTGCTCCCACCCCCTCCCTGGGCCTGCAGAGCATTATTGTCTGTGTCCATGGATTATGCATATATGCATATAAGTTTTTTGGTTAATCTCTTCCCACCCATGCCCCCTTCCCTCTGAAATACACCTGTCTGTTGCATGAATCAATGCCTCTGGGTCTATTTTGTTCATCAGTTTATTTTGTTCATTAGCTTCTTCTTAAAGAAGACCCTTCATTTCCTGTAGTGCTGGTCTGGTGGTGATGAACTCCTTTAGCTTTTCCTTATCTGAGAAGCTCTTTATCTGATCTTCAATTCTAAATGATAGCTTTGCTGGGTAGAGCAATCTTGGTTGTAGGGTCTTGCTTTTCATCACTTTGAATATTTCTTGCCACTCCCTTCTGGCCTGCAAGGTTTCTGTTGAGAAATCAGCTGACAGTTGTAT